TACCAGCAGTAACAAGGCGACGAGGCGACAAGGCAACAGAGGCGGCGATGAAAAGAGATGAACGAAATCGATTAAGGTCTATATACAGATAAAGAGATATACAGAAGTGAGAGATCTGAGAGAGGAGAACAGAGATTACCTCCGGTGACAATTTACAAACGGTGGTGATGAGTTGAAGCAGCGGCGGCGACGACGGTATGAACGGCGACAGAAATGGCGAAAGAAATCGCCCAAACGCTGGTTACGAGTCGAGAGAAACTAGGGTTTGTGGAATGGGTTACTTTCTGGTAAAAATGAAATATATAGACCGGTTAAAAATGGGTTAGTAATATTATTCGGTTCAGTGATTATTTTTATTTTACTCGGACATAACCGGTCAAAGAAGTCTACTTTTGATTCTAATTCGGTAAGAGAAGTCTACTAGATAGAAGTCTACTTTGGTCCGAGACGTCTACTCGAGAGAAGTCTACTTCGGTCCGAGAAGTCTACTTAACCCTAAACCCTAAATCAATTTTTTTAATTAAAACTTATATGAAAACATTAATTACTTACCATATTGACAAGTCATAGTTAAAATAACAAATATATGAACCATTGATTCATTAACTGAACCATAAACTATGATTCATATAGAATTTGTGCAAACCCTAAGAATTACACTCTTATACCCTAAACCCTAAACCTCAACCCTAACCCTTTTGATTTGTATACTTATGAAACTTATAAATTGATTCATTTTCATGATTTGTTTTATACAGATGCTAAATGTATCTTTTTTAATTGTGTATATAATGTTTTTACCAAATTATTTTTTATAATTTTTAAAATTAGTGGTAAAGAAATTAAAAGAAAGTAGACTTCTCCAAGAAGTCTACTCCTGAGAAGTCTACTTTAGAATCCGAGAAGTCTACTTAGTATTGATTTCTAACCTAATTTATCTATGATTATTTAAATTAATTATTTTGTGTCAAATTTTAACTTTAATAGGTGTAAAAAGTATATGTTTTTGTTATTTTGATAATTTTTTCACCAAATTATATTTCATAATTTTTTAATTAATGGTAAAGACATTATTCCAGAGTAGACTTCTCGACTTCTCCGAGAAGTCTACTCGAGAAGTCTACTCGAGCTCGAGTAGACTTCTCGGGGATAAAATAGTCATTGCGACGAGCGTTTTTTGTTTGGTCAGAAGGGATAATTTTATAATTTCACTACCCCTGTGAGTTATTTTTGTCAAACATGCAATAGGGGGTCTAGTTTTGCAATTCAAATCAAGTTTTGAGTCATATTCAGCAATTCCCCCAATCAAATATTGTATTTAAAATATTAATTTAGTATTAAAATTAATTTACTTTAAATAATAATTAAATATTTATAAAAATAATCCGCGTAGCGCGGAAACATCTCTAGTTAACAAGAAAACCTCTAAACCTAGTAACCTACAAAGATTAAAGCTAAGCTAAGTAAGTTTCATAATAAATCTGCTTGGGTTCAATGCGGAAACTAGTAACGTCCCGGTCAAACCGATATTACAATAAAGAAAAGGGAAAGTTACTCAGATATCATACAAATTAGGTGATATGATAATTTACATACAAAACTTTTTTTTATTACTATCATATTTCACCTATATTTTCTACACCCAGCGTGTCCTTATTACATGTAATAGGAAAAAACGTAATTACAAGGAATGCTATTATTTTTTAATTCCACATCAGAAAAACGCGCTGCCACGTCAGAAATCGCTGACGTGTATTAATGAACTCAGCCATAAAGCGCTACAGCGACAATGACGGCTGAGTTACGGTATGTTGCGGCTGATTTAAGGAAAATGGCTGAGTTATAAGCTAACGGCTGACTTACGTGTATAACCCAGCCTGGTGTTTCGGCTGACTTAATGAAATTTATCTGAGTTATGAGAAAACGGCTGACTTACGAGCATAATCCAGCCATAAGTTACGACTGAGTTATAGCCCGATGGTTGATTTGTCAAAATTTGGCTGAGTTATTGCTTCGACACGACTGAATTAACTTTCTCCGTCTGGCTGAGTTATTGCTTCGTTACGGCTGATTTCCAAGTAAGTGTCATAAATCAGCCGTAATGAGCTGGGTTAACAAAAAACTCCGCCTAATTACGGCTGATTTAGTAGCGAAAGATTAATTACCACAATAACATGCTTTGACGACTGACTTATTAAACGATACAGCTGAGCTAAAGATTTTCAGTTGAGTTACGACATTAAACGGCTCAATTTGGCAGCCATTTTTTTGTTTTTTAATTACTGTAATAGTATTCATGTTACAACTGACTTAAAGTTTTGTTTGATGGCTGGTTTAAGACGGCTGATTTACGTGTTCGTTTGGTGGCTTACTTGCCACTACATCAATTAAAAAATGACGCCGGATGCATATTTCAATGTCATCATCAACAGAGAAATACGAAACGTCGTCTTCGTCTTCCTCGTCATCGTCATCGTCTTTCTCATCGTTGTTGTTCTTCACCTTATTCTTCACATCAACAGAGATATCCATAACTTAAATTTTAAACATCCAATTCGTCATCGTCTTCCTCGTTCTTCTTCATTTTCGTTCATCCTTCTTCGATATATGATGGATCCGGTTTTGGTAATTGTAGTTTCCGGTAATTGGGTAAAGAAACACAAATATGTTTTTAACACCGACGATAGAGTGTGTAGAGTTGTGCAGATAGATGCGGAAACAACATACGACAAGCTTGTGAAGTTGGTTCTCGATGACTAGGGATTGAAGGAGTTGAGCCATCAGGTAAAGCTGAGCTACATGTTCTCGAACAAGGTTATGAAAAATATATCGCATGATACTCCACCAGTTTATGTCTCTAATGATCGACAGTTGCAATGTTTTCTAAGCCTATGGAAAATCGATCAGCTACGTCTTTGTGTGGAGTTTACGGAGAAAGAGTCTCGCGAAATTAGTCGGAAGGATGGATCGAGAGGAAGGATGAAACGGCCAAACCACGAATGAATATGTGTTAAGTCAGCCATGTCGTTAGAATAACTCAGCCAAACCATGAATGAATCTGTATTAAGTCAGCCATGTCGTTAGAATAACTCAGCTAAACCACGAATATGGCATAACTCGGTCAAACCACGAATATGGCAGATGTGAATATTTGATACATTCATGTAATTAGACCACTTTAATAAGTTATAATTAACATTTTTATTCACTTTACCGAATAATGATCATGAAATTAGCTCATGTTTGTACCTTTTAAAACTTATCCAACAAAACGATAAATCCCAAACCCTATACCCATACATTGTGAAGCTATACTTAGATTCCATTCCTAGACAAACTTATATTAAGGATTGCAAGTTATATAATGTGTCAAATTTTCAGCCTCTTTGATTGCAACGACATTGTAAGTTGCATTTAAGTTTTGTTTTGTTTTGTATCTAATCACCACAACATTTTAATCAAACACAAATAGTCATGAATCATATAAGGGATATCCTTACAAACCAAACACAAAGGGCCAACAGAACATCTACTTATGCATTGCCGATACAGAGCAACTTCAAGATCTTTGCTTTCCATCCAAATTCAAATCGTTGTTGTATATCACCATCTCTTGCACATTTCTCCACACCATGCTTCTCCAATTCTCTACGAAGCTCCACAATTGTTGTACTTAGTTGATCGATCATATTTTTCTTTCCCGGATTTCATCTCGAGCTTGAATCAATGCTCTTTTTGGCCATCCTTTCACCTTTTCTTTATCAAACCACCTAAAGTATTTGCAGTGAACTGTCGCACCCTCCTAATGACACACAAATAAGATTTTTATACAATCAACATAAAACAAACTCAGCCACAGATGCATTGATAAACCATAAATCACCCGTAAAGTAAATAGTCACTCAGCCGCAACATAAAACAAACTCAGCCACAGATGCATTGATAAACCATAAATCAATGTAAAGTAAATAGTCACTCATCCGAAAATAAAACAAACTCAGCCACAAATGCATTGATAAACCATAAATCAGCCGTAAAGCAAACCGTAATTCAGTCGCAACATAAAACAAACTCAGTCACAAATGCATTGATAAACCAGATACCAAATCGAATAGATCTAACAAATCAGCCACCATATGTAAATCAATGACGGCGAAAATCAGCCGTAATAAGCATCGATAAAAATCCTTAATATCACTGTGATTGTTTTCGAAAAAACGGTTTAAATCACGGAAATCACTTGCAATTAAACGGTTTAAACTCCAAAAAAAATTCAAACTTACCGGAGCAAGTTTGTGCGTAAAAAAGGAGAGATTTTTAGCAATGGAAAATGAAGATTTCCCACTCGATTTCTTGAAAAAGGAGACGAAATGCGACGAGATAAGAGAAATGGCCGGAAGAGACGATACGACGGTGGAATTAGGGTTCGGCTTTGGAATCGCCCGAGAGAGAGAGATTTTTTTTTCCGTAACAAAAGAGCACGATTTAGTTTCCCTCGCTTTTGATCATTAATGACATAATTATTGTTAATAACGTGGATTTAATTTTTTATCTTAATGACGTGGATTAAACTAATTTTTTGTTAATCATTTTTAATTAAAAAATCATAAATTAATCAACGGTGTTAATTGTAATTACACAATAGCACAAAATATCTGAGTAATTTTTAGAAAATATATTTGATACTAGTAATATTCTTATTTTTCTGTAACATTTGAGTAATATTTTCTAAAGAAAATACGATATTGGGTTCTTTGTTTATTTGGACAACAGATAAAAAAGAGAAGATGCATAACGGAGGTTTTGTCCAGAGCAGAGGCAAATGAAGTAATCGCTTTAGATCTCACATTTTAGACGTAATTTTAGAGGAAAAACAATTCACATTAACAACAACTACAAAAACATACGAAAATGGCACAATTTTATAATCTTGCATGGAGCATATGAAACATTTTTTCACCCTCGATTATTTGCATAAGCAGAGATCAATGTGGGAGCTAATTAGCTAAACTAGGTAAATCGAATGCGACACACAGTTTTTCTGGATCTGCAAAGTCTCCCACTCTATCATTCAAACTTATAATATACTTGGAATCCTACAAAAGAAAAAAAAATTGTAATAGTGTCCGGTAATAAAAAGGGTTGTCCGAGAGATGACCCGAGTAGAGGTGGGAAATCCATCGACTTATTTATTTTTTCGGTTTTAGAAAAAAGTTCTCAAAAGTGAAACCGAAACTGGAACAAATATATAAGTTTAGTATGCTGTTTGTAATTTCCAACAATAAGCCTTATACTAAAAACAACATTAATACAAACCAGTAACCACTGTTTTTTCCATTTTTTTGCAAAAATTGTTAGAATAAATACCTGAAAGACTGAAGGACGAATTAGGAAAACAGTTAGCACATAGTCTTTGCTAGTTTCAAGTGGGCATACACCCGAAAGACAGAGGAGGGAGCTCATTAGAAGTAAATTCACGTTTTCAGTTACAAGGGACACGTCTATAGTTGCTGTAGGGCTGATGTTTTTAACTGTATAATATATATATATATATATATAAACCATTTTATTAAGTTGGAAATAAATAAAAAAACAAATAAAGGAAAGAGTTGAAAGTTGCTGAAAGGATCATACTTGTAGTACTTGTTGTTAATGATCAAAATCTGATATGACCTTCATTACAAAAAGGAATGCTCAAATAACCTTTGTATATTATAATTTAATTTAATTTTTTTTAATAGGTTAAAATAGTGAAATAACTTTATTGTCTTTCTTCAAATCTCACAAATCCATCTTCTACGACACTTTTTCTGGATATCTACTTTCTCCTTTTCTTTCCCTTTTGATATACTTTCAATTCAAACCCTAATCCAAACTTCCCGTCCTCTAAATCGATGATCCCGTCGAAACTGAAATCCACCATCAGTTCGAATTTCCGACCAGTTCCGCCAACTCCGATTTGCCGATCTCATGGCGCAACCAGCACCAGTAAACCCTAAATTATGTGGAACCATGGCTAGTATAACTAGGTCCAACTAGTCCGACTAGTATGAGTAGTTCAACTAGTTCAACTAGTTCAAGTAGTCCGACTAGTATGCGTAGTTCAACTAGTTCAACTAGAACGGTTAGTATAACTAGTTGCAGAGCTTGCAGAGAAGGACATTGCTGAAGAGGAGGCTATTGCTGCAGAGAAGGACATTGCTGAAGAGGAGGCTATTGCTGCAGAGAAGGCGATTGCAGAGCTTGCGATTGCAGATGTTATTTTTGGTAATGCAGCTGCGGAGACTCATGTTGCAGAGACTCAAGAGAATAGTGTTGTAGTTACTGGCGCTAAGACAGAGGACAGTGTTGTCGCAGCCGAGCCTGCTTTTGGTGAGAAATGATTCGCTTTTTACATTTTTTTACTCTTTTAATTATCTCACTAAGAATTTAATTATAGTTATTAGTCTGATTTTTATTGATTTTTTTTTTTTTTTTTTTTGCTGAGAGAAAAGTCTACAAGTCCAGTGTGAAAGTCCTTACAGCTAAGAGGTTGATCAAAAAGTATATGAAGTCAAGATCTCCAAGAACTCAAAAAACTCCAAGGCATAAGAGAAATCTAAAACCTTCACATGTGTTGCAGTCCCCTTATATACCAAAATGATAACTTATTTTCTTGGTTTTATGTATTTTTAGACTTATTATGAATTTAGACTTATTATGAATTTAAGTATTTTCAGACTTAATATGCTTATATATACTTAATATCACAAGTACAACTAGTATTACTACATCCAACTACCATGTAAAATATTTAAAATCGTCGCAAGCAAATTTAAATGAAAAAAACGTGCACTGACATCGTGTAAAATATTAAAAACATGCTTAAAAAAATTGAATATTTAATACTGAGTTGTACTAAGGAACCAGTTGTACTTTAATTGTAAAGAGTTGTACTTTGGCCCTAAAAACTTGTAATTGGTGGTACCATTCTCTAAATAAAATTTCTTTAGTTGTACTTACGAAATTAAGTATATAAACTACATTTCACATATTCCTATATAATTAAATGTGTACATATACTTTGCTAGTTTATTTTCCATGTTTGTATCGTTAAGATTGTGAAAGTAACCTTAGAAGTGTAAGGTACATTATGGAAAGATAACATCTTCATCAAAACAAATTATGAAATTTGTATTTAGTTCACTTATTTAGTTGTGGAAATATGTTTGCAATGTTTTGATGGCCTATTTAATATGAGAATATATATATATATATATAAGCATTTTCATAAATGTAATTAAAAGTTACACTAGTTGTACCAGTTGAACTAAAATTTAGTTGTACTATTATCATTCAAGATAATAGGAAGGTTTTATAGGTTCGACTATCAGCGGAAGGTAACTCAACACAAGCTTTGTCGTCGCCTCATCTACCATAATCTTACTCCTTATCCTATTAACTAACTGACAATAAGTTATTCCTTTAACTTTCCCCTCATAACTATAGTAGAAACACCACGTTCTTTCCTATTCCATCGTATATCATCGCCATGATTTGAATAATATCCACCGTGATCAAAATTTATGATGAACAATTTGTTATCCTCTGTAAAAGAACAATAAACGACATCAACACGCAATAGTTGTACCAGTATGACCATTTACGTACACATATTTATAGTAGTTGTACCTGTTATACCACTTATACAACCTATATAAGTTGTACCAGTTATACTAGTTATCCGGTTAGACTAAATGTATCAGTCGTACTAGTTATACTTTATTCGTGGGGGGGATTCAGAAAATGCTGGCTAGGATGAATTTTTTTTTAAATTAATGAAATGATTCATTAAAGGTAAAATAGGTAATTCATATTAGAAAAGTTATGAGAGATTGGTAATAGTTATTTTTGATTTGCCTTCCTATACGGAAGGTCATATCAGATTTTAATCCTGTTGTAAATGATATTGAAATTGTCAACAATAGTCAGTAGGCCCGACCGGGTTCGGAGAGACCTCCAGACCAGTAACAAGACCGAGATCGTATCCATCTACAAAACAGTCGTAAAGATTAATTGTGGATGTTATATATGAGTCAGGTAGAAAGACTTGGATCTATATATACTTTCTTACAAAAATAAAAGATCTGAAACTCAAACTGTGTTAATTGTAAACGTAAACGGCGGCAAATACCATTTTGTCTGGCTTTCTTACGAATCAAATGAAAAGAGAAGACATCTATATATTCCAAAACTCGATAAAATGAAAATAGAAAATATTTCTATTTCTAATGTGTACCGTACTGCTCACTTGAGTATGATCATTTGCAGTACACAACACATGGATTTCAGTGGTTTTTTTTGTTTGCTAGAATTAACAACATAATAATTCTAATTTTCTCCAAAAGAACATAATAGTTCTAATACTAACAAATTGAGCACTTACCTTTTTATCATAAAAATACAAGAGTATGCATATTATATATATGATATAGACATATAAAGAAAGTATATACATAAATGTTTTATCCAAAAAATTTCATGAATTAATCTTTTTTCCATTATAATGTACCAAATTTTAAGTTGTATACATTTAGCATCATCAACTTGAAGAAACTCTAATATTTAAATAATTTAATAAACATAATTTAAATAAAACAAAAGATTACCAAAATTTTTTAAAAAATATATATAAAATTACTAATTTATTGGGCACCCCAAAAAGTTCAATGTATTCGCTATGAAATATTATATCCACTCAAATAACTTTTAATCAATCAAGTTGATCACAACAGTTTTTTCTTTTTGTTTTGTCGAGGATCACAACAATTTATTTAAGGTGAAGAAGTCATAGGACGGATCTGCTCGCTTCATATATTGAAAGCTAAGAGCATTTCCAATCCGCCATGTTATTTTTTATTCTAATTTTAAGTAATTATGTTTTTCATGATATTTCTTCTTAAATTCCATTTAATTTGCAGATTGAATATTTTAAGTATATATATTTTTCTAGTTATAAAAGATTGTAGTTATATGTTTATATTTGTCAAAATTTTGAATTTAACACATTAACTTTATTTTGTAAATTATATTCAATAACATTAAAGTATTATTTTAATTTAAGAATATTATATAAATAAACATAAAAAAAAGATTATTAATTTATGAGTCTTTTACTTAAATTTTACTATTTTCTAGTATTTGTAATTTGAAAGTTTGTAAAAATATTATCTAAATGTATGTTATTGTTATATTTTAAATTCTAAATAATTTAAGTAAATATTCTTATTATTTATTATGATATTTATATGTAAATGAATAATAATTTGTTTGTTCAAATAAAAGAACAATATAAAAAAGTTGGAAAAATAATATTATAAATAAAAATGTTTCACTCCAAAAATGAAGAAATAAACAATGTCATGTCAAATGTAGCGTGATACGATTCATTTCTCTATTTTACAGTGGAGAATGACGTAAAAATTATAAAAATTTATCCAAAAATGACGTTTGGCATGGAAAATGGAATGAAATTGCAGATAGTTTAAGTATCTAGTTTTATCTACTAATTAAAAACAAGAAGCAAATCACAATCGATGACACCAAAGCCTATTTGTATTATTCAATTGATTGATCACCAAAAAGAGAGAAAAAAACAATTAAGAGTAACAAATCGATTCTTACTGCCGTTGCAGTACTCGAAATCAACAGCACGCGAAAAAGGTAAGAAGAAGAGTGATGCAAGAAGAAGAAGCAGAGGCTGGACGTTAGATATCGCCATGGATCAGCTCGTTGATCTCCAAATAGAGGATAATACTTTTCAGTTTGGTTTGACAAACAAATCTATAATACGTGTTGTGCCTTCATATCCATGTCAACTATATCTTATAGTAGTTCCAGAGATTATAATATTCTCGTACACTAGTGGATCAATTCAAAGTTATATATCTCCCAATATATTAGTCTCCTGCGTTATACGCGAGAATATTAAAATATAGGAGTGTAAATGTCATTGACCATACAATTCATTTTCCCTTTTTAACTGGTTTTCAATTAAATAAACAAAACAAGTGTCGTTTCGAACCCTCCTCAGCTTCTTATTAAAATTAAGACTGGGAAGTGGGAACCCAAGCTTCTTCTGTTTTGGGTCAGAGTCAGTTTTGCCCTTGACTTAGTAGTGCAGGGCAGAGGCATCAACAAAATATATTATATAAACTTTCAGTTTAGGTGTTCTGTTTGAACGTAGGCTCGCAAGTCCAATCACTTTAGGGTTGAATTAAAGCTATATTCATACATTTGTTCTTCCCGTGTTTTTTTATACTAGACTAGGTATTTATCCGCGCTACACTGCGGTATATTTTTCTAAATTTTGTATATATTTTTAATATAATAAAATTATTTTTATAATATAAATGAGTATTATATTTTTTTTTATTAGTTTAAATTATGTATTTATATGTTTTTAATTTAAATAAATATTTTATGTCCTTAATTTTTTTATTTTTTGAATTATAATTTGCAATTAAATTTGTATATGTAAGAATAAAACAAT